CGCTTCATCACTCCACGTCATCATCTCTGTCTCCATCTCAGGCATCTCTGTTTCTCTGGGTAGGGTCCCGCTCTCGGCATTTCTTCTCCGTTGATGGTCCCAGAGGCCTCCACTCTTATCCTGAAGAATTAATCACTCCCTTCCTTGTTACAAAACCTCCACCTCTGCATTTCCAACCTTCATAATCCGTCCTGATAAGCATTATTCACTACAGTATCACAAGTTACCCATCTGTATCTCCTTTCATCAGCTCTGCCCAGACAGATTGAATAGTACCTACTGGAGATTCTGCCTTCTCTATAACTCTTGATTGGTACCTTTAATCCATTTACATTCATTGTAATTATCAATAGGTGTGAACTGATTGCTGTCTTGTGTGTGTGTGTGTGGTGTTGACGGATTTTTTGTTCCATAGAATTTTCTGTGCTGAGTTCATTTTGTTTGTGGGTTTTCTTTTCATTTCTGTTGTATTAATGTTTAGTAAATCTTTCTGATTTTCTTTTTTTTATTTTGATGTGCAGGTGTATCATTTTTCTTTGAAATTACCCTGTAATTTATTAATTTTTCCCCTGCTTAAATCAATATGTTTTATCTTGAAATCTACTTGACTTCCTTGCCATTTGGAAGTTCTGTACCTACACTATTCCTTCTTTATGCTTTGCAGTTGACTTCATTATCGATTGATATCATTGGTTTCCTATTTCCAGTCTTATATGTTAGTTTTTACTTTAAATACTTCTATATCTGGATTGAGTTATGGGTGGTGTTGTCATGAATGGTAATCACAGGTTGTTGTCTGTCTGTTGGTTTTCAGTCCAAAGAACACGTTGGCATTTTTGTAAAGTTGGTCTGGTCATCACTAATTCCTTTAATTTTTGTCGATCAGGAAATGTCCTAATTTTGCTGTTATATTTAAGTGACAGCTTTGCTAGGCATATGATTCTTGGTTGACAATTATTTTCTTTCAGAGTTTTGTATATGTAATCCCATTGCCTTCTTGTCTGTATATTTTCTGCTGAGAAATCAGAGCTTAGTCTTAATGGTTCTCCTTTGTAGGTAATTTTTCATTTTTCCCGAGATGATCTCAGGATTCTTTCCTTATCTGTGATAAGGAAAGTTTGATTATGATATATCTTGGTGATTTTCTTTTGGGATCTATCCTGTTTGGGGTTCGTTCAGCTTCTTATATGCTTATTGTCTTGTCGTGCATGATGTTAGGACAGTTTTCTTCCAACAGCTCTTCAATAATTTTCTCTGTGTTTTTGTTGTCTCTTCTTGTTCTGGAATTCCAATCACCTGTAAATTGTTCCTCCTCATGCTGTGCCGCATTAATTCTTAGGCTTTCTTCAGATTTTTTTCATTATTTTTTCTGATTGTTCTCCTAGCATACTAGTATCGAGAGATTTATCTTCAAATTCACAAATTTGGGCTTCCATTGCTTCAAATCCACTCCTTTGCCATTCAATGTATTGTCCATTTCTGAAATCTTAGTATTAATCTTAGAGATTTCTAATTGCAGGTTTTGTATTGTTTCACAATTTGCATTTATTTCGTCTTTGTTGTAGAGGGTCCATGTAGTGCATCTACCTAGTCCATAATTTTGCTGGAAGTCCTCGATTCCAACTCTTAGTGACCCTGTGTAGGTAGGGTTTTGAAGGCTACAAATCTTTATGGGAGCAGAAAGCCTCATCTTTCCCCTGCAGGAACAGCTTGTTATAATTATTGACCTTGAGGTAACAGCCCAACATGTAACCCTCTACATCAACAGGGGCTCCTAGGGTACACTCAGGCCCTATTATAAGTGTCAATTAAGGTTGGTAGCAGAAAACAAGTTGAAAGATACCAAACAGTTTTATGATCCTCTTTGAAGCCAATCTTTGGAAATGCTCTCTAAGAAGATACCCAAATTTATGTGTTCACAATGGTAGAAAGGTAAGTTTTCAGATTACCTTATAAAAAACATTGCAGCCTCTGGGAACCAGTATAAGACTAAGAGCTATTCCATGTTGGATACTTCACTGACATTCATTTTTTTAAAAACTGATATATAATTCATATACCATAAAATTCACCCTTTTAAAGTGTATAATTCAGTGTTTTTCTAAGTATATTCACAAAGTTGCTCAAGCATCACTACTATCTAATTATAGACATTTGCTGATGGGCACAACTCAAAATGAGGGGAAACACCTGCAAATATCCATTACTAATTTGGAACATGGAATATAGTATAAAGTATGAATATAGGAAAATTAGAAGTTGTCAAAAATGAAATGGAACTGAGAACCAACAACAGTAGATGAGAACCCGAGATTACCATACATTACAATACCACCCAGAACTCAGTCTAGATATAGAAATATTCAAAGTAAACCAGGATCTTGGTGTGGCGCTGTGGGTTAACGTGCATGACTGCAAAGCCGTTTGAACTGCAAGGTCGGCAGTTCAAGCTCACCAGCTGCTCCTTGGAAACCCTATACAGGGTTGCTATGGGTTGGAACTGACTCGACAGCACTTTACAACAACAACAATGACTAATGACTATGAGCATCTTTCATCTTTTCATGATGCACTTGCTGATCACTTTTGTTAATGTAAGGTCAAGTCAAAATGGCCTAATAAATTAGCAGTTTCTCCTATTTATTTCTTTTTATGAAATATTTTTCTGATCTGACCCTACCTCTTCTTGGTACTCCAACCTTTTATATCTTCAGGTGTATGGCTAGAAATATCAGAGTGTGGATTTTGTTGGTCATTTTAGTGCTAAGTGGCTGGAGTAATCTTTCTTTCGGATACATTCTAAATCATGGAGGGGTAAGGAGGGTATGGTTGAGAGGGGTGAGGTGTCCTTGTAGATTCTACTCCTGATGACAGTAGTTGTTGTTAAGTGCCATCAAGTCAATTCCAACCCATAGCGACCATGCACAGGGTTTCCAAGGCTGTAAATCTTTACAGGAGCAGAAAGTCTCATCTTTCTCCTGTGGAACTACAGGTAGTTTCGAACTGCTCACCCTGAGGTTAGCAGCCTGATTCATAACCACTATGCTATCAGAATTCCTTTGATGACAGTAGGGGGAGCTAATAAGCAACCCCCTGCCCTATACCTCAAAAGCAGTCTTTTCTCATCATGGCTGGTAGGGTGGTGCCTTTCATATCAGCAAGCCCCATTCTGAATCAAAATCACAGAGAGAGCTGTCTTGATTACAGTAAGTGTTCCCACAGACATAACCCTCGTCATTCCCCTGGGGTCCTGTTGCACCCAACTCTTTGACATAGAAGTTGGCAGTGTAGTTAGGATCCCACAGAACAAGGAAGTTTTCCCACCAATTAAAGAGATACCAGTATACACCAATACAGAAACATTAACACAGAGACACCTGTGGACAGACTCCCAGATACATGGAACCACCACAGCCTCCCTCCCCTGAAACTCAAACACTTACATCTAAATGGTCCATGGTCATATCTTGGAGGAATCTACAGGATGGATGAAGCAGCTGACAGAGGATGGTGTCAGCACCCTTGCAGAACAACATTATCCGATTTTCAGGTGTCTGCACTGAAGGTAAGAAATTTAAGCAAAGTAGCCATATAGGTCTATTGCTACAAAAAATTGTCTGGGTCTTCAAGGGATGGAAGGAGGCTATTCCCCAGGGCATTTGTTTCTGCTACCTTGGGGGCTAAGTACCCAATGAGTGGCCACACAGGGCAAGTGATGTGGTGAGGACTTATGAGCCTGAGGAAGAACTTGTTATATCACCAGCTCTTCCATGGGTTTATATCATGTGGGGTTAGTTGCTTAATTCCAAGTGCCAGACCAAAGTCCACACCAAACTAAGGACCAAGGACAAAAAATTCCTTTCTTCCTCTTCAGTCTGAGATTCAAATGAATCGAGAAAAAGATAACACGGCTTTCCCCTACATTGGCTGTCCCTGACCCCTCTCTCATCTCATGTTCTTTGCATATTCTATCTTTACCTTGGTTTGAGTACTGATAAGTCACTACCAGGAACACAAGTGTAGGGCACTTCCATATGGCAGCAAGCCCCCACATGAGGGGGGCTTCAAAAAGTTCATGGAAAAATTCCATTGTCTTTTAATCCCATTTTTCCACAAAATTTTTGAAACCCTCTCATATATGTATAAGAGAAAATATAAAACATATTTGAAAGAGAAAGTGGGAATGTCTGCATGTTATTTGCATGTAATTGAGGCACAGTACCTGTAAGGAGGTACATGCATGGGAGAGAGCTTATTTGTATAAATAAAATCAAAAGTTAACAAACATGTGAGTGTGCATGAAGATGAGAGAAGGGCGAGAAAGGGATGACTAGGAGGGGTACCCACCAATAACAGACATCCGCTTGCGCACATTGTTGAAGTCCAAAATAGCGAGCAGTTTGTAGACTTTGGTTATCCCCATTTCAACAATCGTGATGGTCTCAGATGTGCGGGAACGGAACACAAAACCAAAGTTCCTGGCAGCAGTGACCAGGGCACCTTCATCTGGAGACTGAGCCTGGTATACCAGCTCACCTGACAGGAGAGGAAAAAAGCCCACAGAGATAAGCAGTTGAAGTCCACCCAGAAGTGACACTGGTTTCCAAGTATCTTCTATAAAGATGAAACTTCCTCAGAAATCTGACTCTAAAAGGTTGGGCTACAAAGAATATCTCAGTTTCTTTTCATCTCATTTCACAGACTTGATTTATTATTACAGAGGCACATGCAGTGTATACAAATAAATAAAACATAGTTACTTTCAAACTTTAGTGGGTAAACATAGCTTACGAAGCTTGTTAAAAATGCAGATTCTTGGATCTCATTCAGAAACACAAAATCTAGGAGGGGGCTCCCCAAAAAACTAAATATTAACAAGTCCGCAAGGTTATTAAGGAGTCCTGGTGTGGCGTTAAAAGATAATGCACTGGACTGCAAGATTAATTTTAACCACAAGGTTGGTGGTTCAAACCCACCAGCTGCTCCTAGGAAACCCTATACAAGGTGCTATGAGTAGGAATCAACTGGTTGACTGGCTGGCACTTAACAAACAAAACAAAGACAGGGTTATTGTCAAGTAGATGGTCCTGCACCAGACTGGCTGCACTTTGATGAACGCTGCTACAAGACAATGAGACCGAGACCGATGGTCTAGTTCACCATGTGAATGAATAAACGTCTTCATCTTTGAAACTCACTCTGGGAAGCTAAGTAACACACTGTTGAATCAATCTTTCGATCTGATATTACTCAAGACATTTCTAGAACTCCTCTTTTGGAATGTTATCACAACCTGAGATGTATTTTGAAATACTTGTCTTCTGAAAGTCAATTTGATTTTTAAAAGAGTTAAGTATTATCAGAGTCTTATATTTGTGAATGAGGTGTTGTGGAGAATAATTTTATGTCAGATAAAAGATGCATTTACCAGACAGTGAAAAAATTTTTTCATCAATTTCCAATCCTGTGACTAAAGGGCAGTAAAAAAAAGACGAGGCCAAACATACTTCAAATAATAGCATTGTTGGAATGGCAGCAGGCCCAGAGAGGCATATGGTGGTGAGATGGATGCTCATAAGGTCAGGAGACATGACATTTGGTTCATTTCTGTCCTTCTTAGCTAACAGGACTTCATTGTTGTTGTTAAGTGCTGTCAAGTCGATAACAGGACTTAACGCAAGTCATAACATCTTTTAGCTTTAGTTTCCTTCTCTATAAAATAGGGATCATTTTTCTTGTTCTGCCTACTTTAGAGGGCTATTCTGAAGATTGTGGGAGATAATATAAATAAAATCAGTTTGTGAAGTGAAATACAAAGTGATATAAGGAGTCCTGGTGTGGCACTGTAGGATAAGCACTTGACTGCTAACCTCAAGGTCAGAAATTCATACCCATCAGCTGCTCCTCAAAAACCCTATACAGGGTCACTATGAGTCAGAACTAACTTGACAGCACTTAACAATAACAACAACTGATAGTCTTGACTTTAAAGGACATGATTCATTCTTGTTTGTTTAAAAAAAAAGTATTAAATTTATAGACAGTTGTGTCTCATTCACTATTTCTAAAAAGGCATGGATAAATTCATATAAGATGTAGCCATATTTGATACTAAAGCAATTAGGCCATGTGGGGAGAGCTTTAAATTGTGAACCAACAAGAGGATGATTCAACGCATCTTTCAGAAAGTGTCAGAGATAATGGGGTTGATCTTGGGGACAATTCAGATGGACTCTGTGACAGAACATCACAGAGTCTCAAGATCACTTGTTCTTGTTAAGTGCTGTTGAGTCAGTTTTGACTCATAGTGACCCTGCTTAGGGTTTGCGAGGAGCAGCTAGTGGATTTGAACTGCCGACCTTGTGGTTCACAGTCCAGTGCTGTTCCTATGGGACCACATCAAGAGTCCTTTAACTAGCATCAAATTCAACCTCTATTCAAAGACTGGACCTTCTTTAAAACCAAGAAGTTATTTTCTACTTGAATATCTCCAATGACTGGGTGCTCACTACTTATCTTGACCATCTATATTCCTTTGCTGGACAGTTCTCCGATTAGAAAGTTCTGTTTTAAACGAAACCATTACAAATGATATCAAACCACCCCCCGCCTCCAGCCTAAACTCTATGACATATTTTCAGTCATGAGACCTCAGGTCATCCTCACCTTCCACTTTTTCCTCGGACATCACAGTATGGCATAATGAGAGTGAAAGGAAAAATAAGTGTACCCAGTGATCTCCATTTTTCACTGCTTCCACCAATGTCTTGTCATAAAATGAAAACTTAGGATCAGCCAGTTTGTTATAGGAGAAGTCAACTTTTTCTGTTTGCTGGAATACAAAAATCAGGATAAACTAGGAGTAATCCGACATTGAGTAGGTCAAGTTCTAGAATATGATGACAACTCTCAAAGAAGATGGGAAGAGAAAAGCAAGATAAATGAAGGAGATTCTGCTATTTTCTAAGGCATTTATAGCTCTGACCAGGACCTTCCACTCACTTGGGCCAGAAAAGATCCATTCCATAGGAGACAAGTTGAGCACTGCTTCCCAGACTCTGCTTGCCCCTGCTCTGTACCCTTGTCATCCTGAATGATTAATGGGCATTTTTAGGTTCTACTTTTCAAAGTCCAAGATTTATTAAAATCAAACCTGGCAGGATATGAGGAGATAATTGCTCCATATTAGTAAGTGGAGGTCTGGAAGTAGTCTTGCTTCCAGCTGCCCTATGCTTGATTTTGGGAGCTGGAAAGAGAATGGAGTCTTAGGTACATGGATATCACTATGTTATAAAATTCTTTTTCAGTACCACAGGGTCAAGAGGGGTTACAGAGGAATTTCATAAGACAAAGTCAAGATCACATAATAAGGCAGTTTCAGTATGTATTTACTGTTCACAAACTTATTTTAGAACCATTTTATTTGACCTGTTAGCAGACCTAATTCCTTCATGCCTCTAATCCTCATGGCTAATGACCTTGCTGTTTTTGTTCTTATTTTACTCCTTGTTTCAGTCTAATCAAATTAGGCCTTAGGATCAATATTCATTACTATTTTTCCTGATTAAACCTTGGTTCTTTTATATCTTGGCTTTTATTCTACAGCTCATCTGGACTGCTTGCAACCACCATAGGTTAAGTACTTTTTCTTTTCTGGCTCAATTTGGCCCTGGGACTTTCTCATCCCCATCCTGGAGTGTGATGTTATTAATAATTTTCTCCAGTCTGTATCAGAACTCTCAAGGATCATCTACAGTATTCTGTAGTTGTAGGTGCAACTTGGGCTGGGCCCTAGTATGTTGAGTACAGATACAGTTGTCCTGTTTGGTGCTCTGCTGGGGAAAGGGAAGTTTGCAATGAGCTTTACGGATTCTTTTCTATATTTTTCTAAAGGAGTTTGTTGTAGGAGGAAGGATGTACAGACAGGTCCAGAGCTAAGCCTTGGATCTGGCCAACCACAGATTTATGAGCTCTGAGACGTGTAGTAAGTTCAGTAACTTAAGATAACTCATTGTGTATTTTCCCCTGTGGCATTTCTAGAATTGGGTTCTTATACTGGTATATTTTCTAAAACCAGAGACTGGTGAGGGATGAGAGATAAGGCTGAAGAGGTAGGCATGAGCCAGATTCCGAGTTATCAACTTATATGCAATAGGGAATCACAGAAACTTTGGGTTGTAAGTTATGTAATCAAATTTATATTTCAGGAAAAGTAATTTGGTATATTCACATAGCTTAAGCACTGGACTGCTAACTGTAAGATTGGTAGTTCAAACCCACTAACTGTTCCTTGGAAACCCTATAAATTGATGCTATGAGTTGACACTTAACAACAACAGCATGACCAGAAGCAGGGAGGCAAGATAGGACGTCACAGCTGGAGCCATAAAAGGGTTGAGTCAGTTGTTGTTGCTAAGTGCCGTCAAGTAGATTCCAACTCATAGTGACCCTGTATAGGGTTCCTGAGGAGCAGCTGGTCGGTTTGAACTACTGACCTTAGTGGTGATAAATATTGAGTTAATGGGATGGATTCAGAAGATTAAGGGGCTAGAAGTGATACAATTTGGATATAAATAATTAATGAGGGAATGAACTAAACATAATTTTATATTTCCTAGTTAGGCCTCTGGGTACATTGTAAGACTGTTCACTGAGCTAGGATACCAGAAGCAAGAAGAAACTTTTGACGCTCTGGGAAGCTCTCTGAACTGGTTTCTGATTGTCCCTTCCAGATAAGTAATGTTTAGGAACACTGGATCTGATTGGGCACAGAACTGAGGCAGGATTGGCTTGAAGCTGCAGTACAGTATGATCTAAAAGGCACTATTCAGGGATAACTCTGAAAGTGAAAGCCAAATAAGTAGTTAAGCCTGGAAGGTAAAATCCTGGTACTAGACAAAAGGATGGAAACTGGGCTGTCAGATGCCAAGAAATAGATTCAGATTGAAGGGTAGAAGTTGCAACTGAAGAAATGCTTTGACATGATTTATCATAGTTATAGACAGCTTTACAGAATGGCTTTAGCCTTGGCCATGGATGGGGAAGAAGTCTTCAAGTGCTCTCTGGATATATGGATTTGGAGGTTATTAGTAAGTAAGAGTCCTGGTGTGGCGCTATAAGATAAGCACTTGACTGCTAACCAGAAGGTTGATGGTACAAACCCACCAGCCACTCCTTGGAAACCCTAATACAGGGTTGCTATGAGTCAGAACCAACTCTACAACAGTAAGTAAGTGGCAGTTAAAGCCATACAAATACATGAGGCTATCTAGGGAGACTACAGCGATTGAAAAGATGTACAAATGAGAAACCCCTGGAGAGCCTGAACACCTATAGCAATGAAATGAGAAAAAGACAAACAGAAAGAAAAAACAAGAAGAAAGTTTTTAAATAGACACCAGGGGACAGAGAACTTTAAGAAAAAAGAATGTCAAAATTTGCAGAAAAGGTGGGTAAGGACTTACCAAGGTAGACTTTAATGACCTTGACTAGGATAGTTTCAGGGATCAGATAGGGCAGTGTGAGTACATAGAACAGACTTAAGAATGAGTGGAAAGTGAGGAATTGGTGTGGCATTGTAGGATCAGCACTGGATTGCGAACCACAAAGTCAGCAGCAGTTCAAATTGACCAGGTGTTCCTTGGAAACAGCTATACTGGGTCGTTATGAGTGGGAACCAACACTATGGTACTTAACAACAACAACACAATAATTCTGTGGAAAGAGATGATGGTAAACTCCTTATCAGCCAAAACCAGACCAGGGGCAGACTGTGGAACAGACCATCAAAACTGCTCATATGCAGGTTCAGGCTGAAGCTGAAGAAAATTAAAATTACTCTATAAGAATTAAAATCTGACCTTGAATATAACCTATCTGAACTTAGAGATCATTTTAAGAAGTGATTTGATGCATTAGACACTAATGACTGAAGAGTTGTGGGATGACATCAAGAACATCGCACATGGATGAAACAAAAGGTCATTAGAAAGACAAGCAAAAAGAAAAAGACCAAAATGGATGTCAGAAAAGACTCTGAAATTTGCTCTTCAGTGTAGAGATGTTAAAGTAAATGGAAGAAAAGAGTAAGTAAAAGAGTTGAACAGAAGATTTCATAGGGCAGCTTGAGACAACAAAGTCAAATACTATAATAAAATGTGCAAAGTCCTGGAGTTAGAAAACCAAAAAGGAAGGACATGGTCAGCATTTCTCAAGCTGAAAGAACTGAAGAAAAAATTCAGGCCTCGGGTTGCAAAACTGAAGGACTGTTTAGACAAAATATTGAATGATGCAGAAAGCATCAAAGGAAGATGGAAGGAATACACAGAGTCATTGTACCAAAAAGAAATGGTCAAAGTTCAACCATTTCAAGAGATAGTGTACGATCAAGAGCCAAAGGTACTGAAGGAAGAAGTTCAAGGTGCACTGAAGACACTGAAAAAGAATAAGGCCCCGAGAATTGATGGAATACAAATTGAAATCTTTCAACAAACTGATGCAGCACTGGAGGTACTCACACATCTATGTCAAGAAATTTGGAAGACAGCTAGCTATGTGATCGATTGATTGGAAGAGATCCCTATTTGTGCCCATTCCAAAGAAGGGTGACCCAATGAATGTGGAAATCATTGGACAATAACAGTAATATCATATGAAAGTAAAATTTTGCTAAAGATAATTTCAAAATGGCTGCAATAGTACATTGACAGAGAACTTCCAGAAGTTAAAGGTGGATGCAGACGAGGATGTGGAACAAGGGGTATCATTGCTGATGTCAGATGGATCTTGGCTGAAAACAGAGAATACCAGAAAGTTGTTTACTTGTATTTTATTGACTATGAAAAGGCTTTTGACCATGTGGACCATGAAACTATGGAAAACATTGTGGAGAATCAGTATTCCATAGCACTTAATTGAGCTCATGAGGAACCTATATACAGACAAAGAGGCAGTTGTTCTAACAGAACATGGGGATACTGAATGGTTTAAAATCAGGAAAGGTGTGCATTAGAATTGTATTCTTTCACTATACTTATTCAATCTGTATGCTGAGTAAATAATCCAAGAAGCTGGTTTATATGAGAAGAATTTGGTACCAGGATTAGAGGAAGACTCATTAACAACCTGCGGTATACAGATGATACAACTTTGCTTGCTGAAAGTGAAGAGGACTTAAAATACTTACTGAATGAAGATCATATCCTACAGTGCCCCAAGCATGGATTATTTTTCAAGCAAGAAAAAAGCCAATAAAGCTACCTTTGTTTAACAAAACTACCCCAAGTGCCCCAAATAAGTGGCACTATGGGGTAAAGCACTGGACCTCAAGGTTCATTTCAACCTCAAGGTTGGTGGTTCAAACTCACCAGTTGCCCCTTGAAAACTTTAATACAGAGTTGCTATGAGTCAGAACCGATTCCATGGCACTTAACAACAACAAATTAATATGGGGGACTTCAAAAAGTTCATGGAAAAATTCCTTTATCTTTTAATTCAATATTTTAACGAACTTTGTAAAATCCCCGTGTGTAAAATGAGTTCTAACATCATGGGAAACAATGGACTCAAGTATACCAATAAGCATGAAGATAGTACAGGGTCAGGTAGTTGGAGTGGATGTGATGGTAACTAACAACAGAGCTTTAGTATTTCAGGAGACCAAAAGGAGCCCTGGTGGCATTGTGGTGGTTGTTGTTGAAGTACTGTTGAGTCATTTCCAACTCATGCTATTGTTGTTGTTAGTACCTTAGAGTCAGTTATGAGTCATAGCAACCTGTATAAGGTTTCCAAGGAGCAACTGGTGAGTTCAAATTGCTGACCTTGTGGTCCTGTGCTAATCCTACAGCATCACACCAACCCTATATAGGGTTTCTCAGGAGTGAATGGTGAGTTTGAACTGCTGACCTTGTGGTCCTGTGCTAATCCTACAGTATCACACCAACCCTATATAGGGTTTCTCAGGAGTGAATGGTGAGTTTGAACTGCTGACCTTGTGGCTGGCAGGTCAGCAGTCCAGTGATTATTCCATAGCGACACACCAAAATTGGACTGCTAATTCAAATCTACTAGCTGCTCCTCAGGAGAAAGATGAGACTTTCTGCTCATCTTTATGGCCTCAGCCACTTAAAGGAGCAGTTTTACTCTATCCTTCTAAGAGTTCTAGTGTGGCACTGTAGGATAAGCATTGGACTTCTAACCATAAGGTTGGTGGCTCAAACCTACCAGCAGCTCCTTGGAGGGTTGCTATTAGTTAGAACCAACTTGATGGCACTAAACAACAACAGCATGTAGTCACTATGAGTGGGAACTGACTCTATGGCACTTAACAACAACCATGAGTCAAAATAGACTACACAGTGGTGAATTTTTTTTTTTAAGTTTTTATTGTGAATTGAGTGATAGTTTACATGGGAGAACATTGGTTTTACACTCATTGTTTCATTGACATGATTACAATCTCCTCCATGTACTCATGATATTAGACCATATTCAACAGTATTTGCTTCTATTCCCTCTGTTGTTGTTGTTGTTTTGGGGGTAGGATATGTACACAAAATATTCAGGAATATATAATCATTTAAACAACCAAAGGGCACATTCTGCAAGCCTGCTTCCTGGCCGCCAGCACACAGCCTCTCTCTTTCCATGAGTCTAGAGTCCTCAGCTGCTCTGTCTCTCCATGTCTTCATCTTTGCCTCCATCTCTGGTGTTGCTGCTCCTCTGGATAGGGTCAGTGGTGGATGGGTTTAAGGGAGATCAAATTTATCTTAAAGATGCTGCTATGTGTCACAGCCACACTCAGTTCCTAAATACACTTCAAAGGGAGTTGGCACCACTTACCTCAGAGATTTCCACCTTCTGTCCATTCTTGTCAAAGACATTACCTATTGATAAGTAAACAGAGTAGAGATGTGGCAAGAGGTTAAAAGAAGGACTTAAAAAAACATATTTCTTCTGATTTACTCATCCTAAACATGCAGTCAAGCTATCCTGATTTCCCTCGGACTACGTATCAGTGTCCCAATAAACATCTTTCCTCAAGCCAATTGTAAGAAGAGATCATCTGCTGGGCCCCTGCTTGTCTCCCTTAGGGAAGAGTGAGGGCAGGCTGAAGATTACTCACTGGATCAATGAGTGACTTTATAATACAAAAAGCCTCCGATCAGGAAAGTCACCTAGAGAAGACGTGGAAATAGCAAGAGAGTGTTTATAATTCCCATTGAGTCTGTTCTGACTCATAGCGACCCTGTGTAGGGTTTCTGAGGAGCAGCTGATGACCTTGAACCACCGACCTTGCAGTTCAAAACAGCTTTGCAGTCTGGTGCATTAACCCACAGCGCCACACCAGCCAGAGGTAGTACAGATCAATTTGAGTGGATGATAGTTCTGATGCCAAGACCAGAAACACCCAGGATGTTTTTCAACCTTACCTAGTACATGATTAAGTCTGTACAATGAAGTCAGGTAATTAAGATCTTCATTTAAAATATCAAAAAATAGGCCTACAGAGATTATTCTCATAAAAACTTGTTTGGCAGGGGATATAGGAAATAGTAGAATGGTTTAGCTTTTTTTTTTTTTTTTTAATTGAGGTGAAATTCACATAACATACTTTTAACCATCTAAAATTGCACAATTTAGTTCCATTTACTATATTCATAATGCTGTGCACCACCACTCATCTGTCAGTTTGTCGTACTGTAGTGGCTTGTGAGTTGCTGTGATTCTGAAAGCTATGCCACCAGT